GATTTCGATACTTCCAGTGAAACCGATCAATTTTCCGGCAAAGAATGACCCTCTGTCTTTCTCTTTAACCTCTCGGCCTCAATTTTCATATTATTTGACCCTCTACTCTTGATGAAATTCTCCAGCCAACTCCGTTTTCGGCCATTCCTGCTCAGTCTTCACCGGCCTCGCCTAACCAAGCCTCTTCCCCTATCCGACGCCATCGTCGACCTCTCAAATTGGTCGATGAGCCTGAAGAAGAGGACGAGGATGATGTGGTTCTTCGACCTACTCCTTTGTCCTTCGCTCCTCCCTTTTCGACCTTAGTATCGATTCCATAGAGTGGACCGTCTTCCAACCGCCTACCTCAACCTGAATCTCCCTTTCAGGTCAATCCGACTCGTACTCCCATCGACGACTCCTAGTGGGTTCACTACTTTCTCGACGTTGTCGGTCGCCCTTTGAACTATTGGTGTGTATGTTGAAAGCTCACTTTTTGTTAACACTATTTCCGTTTGAGTGAGAATCATATTTAATTAAACAATATACGTTATGATGTTTATCGATTATTTGTAAAACATAAGTAATATTGTTCACAACCTAGATAGAAATGAGCAACCCATCGTGAACAGTTGAGTGTTAATTGTACAGTCTGTCTTAGCTGATTCCGACTTCAGATCGTGTCTCTCGAGGAAGGTTGTCCAGACACGAATTCGAACAACGATTGACTCACACAAGAAAAAAAAAAAAGTTCTAAATACTCTACTCGCAATTTGGTTAATGAATGAAGCTCAAGAACGCAACTTTAAACTAAAGCGAAAGCAAGATTCAATATTTAAAGCAATCAAGTCCTCAAATGGCAATAAAAAGGAAAATATAGAAAAAAAAAAAAGAACACGGTACCCACAAACCCGAGATGGAAAGAAGACACTCATAGGTTCCAGAACATGTAATCAAACAATTGTCACTCGCGAATTAATTCATTAAACTCTCAATCAATTCTACTCACGCAATCAATAACAAAATCACATAATCCATAGCCTACAAGGATGAATGCATATTCTAGTCATGAAAGCTCCTACTTTTATCCAAGAAAAATCTAATAAGTAAAGACATGAAAAACTTACGAAATCATTGATCTTAAACAAAGTCTCAAAGTCTCTAGTGCATTAACGAGAAGAATATGCCGGAAAATTGCAATCTTGATGAAGAATTTTTACAATAAAAATTGGGTCTTGGAGCCCATAGAGAGAGAAAGAATATATATATATATATATATAGAGAGAGAGAGAGAGAGAGAAACTAAGAAAAAAATCTTGCAAATGAGGAATTGATCCCAAAATACAAAGCACTAAATCTATTTATAGCAACACCACAAAAACACACTAAAACACACACATCTAATGAAACACACTTGCGACCTAGCCAACTGAAGTTCGCGGGCGAGTGTCTTGGGAGAGTTTGACATGGGAACTCGCGAGTGCTGGAGTTCTCTCGATCTGGGACTCGCGACCTTAAGAAAGGGGTCTCGCGGGCGAGTGCCTAGGATTCATGGACGCTGACTCGCGACCGGGCGTACAGGACTCGCGGGCACGCGATGGAGAAATCGCGGGAGTGTGTTGTGTGCGGCTGCTGGGGGAACTCGCGGGCACGCAAGAGAGGACTCTCGGGCGAGTGCTACGTGCGCTGCTGGGAGAACTCACGGGCACGCGAACGAGGACTCTCGGGTGAGTGTTGCGATCGTCTTGACGACACTCGCGAGCTGGAGTGAGATGAACAAGCGACAGACTACACTGGGAATTGCGACTATGGTGGACAAAAAGGAGACGAGCTTGGCGGTGTAGAGTGAGGCAACGGTGTAGAAGACGACGGTCGTGGAAAGGAATGAAGCCGAAGAGGTAGATGAGGTAGCAGAACTAGAAGGTCAAGAATTTGGACCAGACGACGGAGGCGGAGGCAGCGGCAGCAGAGTCTTACTGTTGATGGCGGTCTACAAAATCATCTTCATCGGATTCCTGATCGTATTCGTCCTCCACCAATTATTATGTATATGACTATGTTCTGTTGCTTGCTCAACTGCTAGTCTTATCTGATCGGAGGAGGAGAAATGAGTGTTGCAAACTTGCAGTGTTAAGGACAGGTGAATAAAAATAAGACAAAAAATAATAGTGAAAGAGAAAAGGAAGGAGATAAGGGCAAAATAGTCTAAACGCATTTATATTAGTAAGTTATATCCCGTACATCAAATGTACTTACAAATATGATATTAATTTTATCAATACAGTATAATCTAACCACCTCATCTTAATTTAGTCTAATCCTATCAGTCCAACCAAACAAAGCCTTAATGATTAATTAGAATGATGAGATTGAACTAAACGCTAGTGGCCGGAATAATTAGGATCCAGCCATCCAAGTGAATCTGTTAACACCATAAACTTAATAGCTAAAGTGAGATAAACAATAAAAAAAAAGAAAGTTTAACCCATCAAATTACAATCCAACACTCGAAAAAGAATACACTACTGAACCCAAAAGGGCAAACATGAAAACAGCGACGTCAATAACAAAAACAACACAACTAATTGAAAGGTTTAATTAATGAATACAATTTACATGAATTGGTCGAGGCCCTACTTTAATGATGCGTAGACGGCACCCCATCCAGCCTGGGTGGGATGAGACAAGTCCCAGAAAAATGACGATTTTGGGTTGCTGCAAATTGTGTACATTTTGTTACCTTTCTCGTCCACACTGCCGCATGAGTAAGTATTGTTGATTCCCATGCAACAGGGCTTCAATGGTGTCTCAAATTTTAAGTCACCTGTTTCAGAGTAATATTTCAAATCATTCTTAAAATATTACATTGCTTTTTTTTTTTTTTTAATGACATCCTTTGTTAGGAAATATTTTATTTTCTATATATAATCTAATTATGGGCAACATATTATATACAATTATATTAGCTATTCAATTAATTAATGGACTCAATTAAGTGATCTAAATAAAGTAGAGTCCATGGGCTACGTAAATTGATATGGCTTAATTGAGTGGATACCTAATATTATTAGGATTAGGTGATAATGGATGGCCTACCCTAGTAGTATATAAAGACCCTATTGGTTATGGTCCCCAATATACTAAATCAAACATAGCTCTCTTTTCTCTCCATCTGAATTGAGAATGATGGTCCCATATGAGGAATAAGGCGATTTAGTTGAGGAAGACCATAAAACCGACCCCGTTCGTGATCAAGGATGTGTTCGTGATCCAGATCGTGTTCATGGAGATGAGATCCGGAGATTGATGATAAGGTATTCCGCATCTAGAAACTCAATCTCAATGGATCCAGGTATTCCTTATAATCTTTAATTATAATCTAGTGCGATGTTGATTTTCCTAGAATTAAAGTATGTTCTAGGTTAATTGTTATTGAATTTATATTATGTGATTATAAATTCCTACAAGTGGTATCAGAGCAGTCATCGATTGCTAGATCTAGATTCAATAGATCCGAATTGCAGTTTAAATTCAAATTTTCGAACTCTGTCTATGCATTCGATATCGAATACTGTGAAAGTGAATTTAATATCTGCAAATTATATGTCTTCTGCTAATTTATCCGAATAATTAAACACCTTAATGGCTTGGCGTGAAAGGGGTTTTTTATTTGTTGAATTTATATATCCCAAACCTTGATTTGTGTTTTGACATTCATCTCTATAAATCTGTGGGGCCATTTGGGTTGTTGCATAATTATTTTGGTATATTTGGAAAGTTTTTTCAACCCATGACAATAGATGCATTAATATGTTTTAATTCACTTTTCATATTAAGCATAATGATCTATTTAGTGCTCGCATAAATTTTTTGAGGGCTTAATTTAGTTTGGTCCCCAATACAATTAATTTAGTAATTGACATTGAGTTTATTGCTAAATTGCATGATCTGGAAAAAATATATGCATTTACTATATGAGGTTGAATGTCTTAAAGGATTAAAGTCCAAATTTGTTTTCTTGGACTTGTTTAAATAAAAGACTAATTTGGTTTATAGGCTTTCATTTAAATTGAATTGCGGAGCACTCATTAGAATAATGTGGGTTATTGTGATGTTAAACATGTGACAATTACTTAGTTATACATATGAACGATAAGTCGGCCCAAAGGAAGATTTATTGTTTGAGATGTTCTTATTGTCAATGTTTGATCAATATGCTAAGCTATCAATTACAAGTTAATACTTTGTCCAAAAATAAAATATTAATGGAGTTGTGATGTTTTGAGATAAGGTTACCTTTATTTGAATTTGTTATTTTAAGTCTAAGTAATATTCATGAGCATAAAGGTTGATTTTTTAACTATCTTTATTCATGGAGTTTTAAATCAACATAAGGAATTAGGTTTATGGTCTTTCACTAAAGAGGACAAAATAAAATGGTGGATCTTTATTTTGTCTTATTTTGTTATATTTGATTTTAGGCTAAATTGTAAGTGTATTTGAGCTTAAGTTGACATTTTATTTTCGGCTAATTCTGCTCAAATTAACAAAATTTGTTTCAAGCTTAAAATCTAGATGTTTGAACTTTGTTCTATGTTTTGTGGACTTACTTCACATTCAGTAAGGTTAAGCCTAATTTGGTCATACTAGGCTTTGTCTATATAAATTTGAATTTAAAATTTAATTTGGTTTATGGGCTTTAAACTCAAATAAAGTTAATGGACACAAGTTCATATAAAGTTTCATATTTTGGCTCAAACTCAAAGTTAGATTTCGAGATTATCTTTTTTTTGACATCTCAATATATTTATAAGGTATGTGTTTTGAGTTTGACTCTGTGGTAGACTCATAATATGTTTCCGGGATGTGGGGCTAATTATCCCATAAGGATAGGATTTATATTGAAAATCTTTACATATAATCCATAAGAATTCTTTGAACTATGAGAAACATATTAATCATTTTCATGACTTATGTGTTTAATTTGGTTTAGGTTTAATTCCACAGCACTGTCGTATTGAGTTTATATATGTTTGAGCTCAATTTTGGACAGTAGTTATATGACTAATGGATTGAATTTTAGCCCAATTTGGTAATAATGGACCGCAAATTCAAAAGACAGTTTATTTGGATTTAAGCTTATTGAAATTAGATTTTAAGCCTAATTGGTTATATGGGCTTTCAATCTAAATAAAGTTAAAATTCAATTTATTTTAATTCATAATCTTTAAATTCATAGTTTTCCTGAGGCGACGTTTTAACGTTGTTCAATTGAGTAATAGAGAAATTCTCAGTCACATTTACTCTGATGTTGTGATTTTCAATTTAGTCAATCAAAGTATCTTGTTGCCATAGCAACCTTTGTGCAAATAGAATGACTTTATTGAAATCATTTTAATGTTGTGTGAAGTTGTTCATGTGATCTGTGCTCGGCCCATAGGTAGACACAGGTTGACTAAATAATAACGCATATATCGTGAAAAGAGAAACTCATGGATTTTACTCAATTGATCTATTAATTTTCCATTTAGTCAATCAAAACATCATGTTGCCATAGCAACCTCTGTGTGTGGAGAGCGACTTTATTGAAATCACATAGATGTCGTGTGGAATTATTTATGCGTTTTGTGATCGGCCCATAGGTAGACGCAATTTGGCAAAATAATAACACATATGCGATGATAAGTATGTGATAATTATTTGGATTGTTCATGTGCACATTAGTCAGTCCATAGATAGACTTTTGTTTGACAGAACTTATTATCAATGCTTGATCGTTACAACAAGACTACCACTGCAGTTAATTTTCTGTCCATAGACGAGATTAATGTTGCACTATGGAGTCTTGCCACGTGTCCCTATTTGGTCTACTTACCCATATTTATGCATGACATAAATTTATGTGTGAGTATTTTGGTATTGTTCTCTAACTTTTTCATTTGCTTACCTTAAGTCATTTGTCATTATATATTTTTCTATAAGTTTTATATGCTTATAGAACAATATTTGAATATTATTGGGACATAAGGTTGATGGATAATGTAGGAAGTTCCACTAAGGATATTTGATGAAATAATATATCTTTTGATTATTGTTTCGATAAAGTTAAATGGAACATAAGAAAGTACATTGTGATATGTCTAAATCTCGTATTCAATATAAAGGCACATTAATTGGGCATAAAGTATTTCTTTTGTTATGTGATTAAAGAAAATTTGAACAAGAAAAGACTTAATGTACAATATATCCTTCATTGATCCACATTATAAAGTTTACTTCTCAATATGAGTTAGCTAGTTTAGTTTTGTACCATTGAAATATTTTGTGAGTAGTTTTCTTGTTTTGTCACTCACAAAAAAGCAACCAAATTTTTACGTGGTACAAGACATATGAAACTAGCTCAATTTTGTTAAGTTGTGGTAAAAGAAATATGATTGACCATTCTTCTTTGTCATTAATGTGAGAAGCAATGTGTTTCATTATTAATAGAGTTTGTGCATGGAGTAAAACCCACATACTTTGAATTTTTGCCTTACACTTTGGGGTTGTCCAACTAAGGTAAGACTTTCATGTCTATAAGTAAATTTGGATTAAAGATTGTGGATAACTACTCATTTAAAATTCAATAAAATTTTTTAATAATGAATTTAAAGTTAATTTGAGGAAGTTGAGCTTGAGTGGGAGATAAGGTTATGAAGCATTATTTTGGAATGTAAATATGGTCCCAAAATGCAAACTCAACCACCTCAAATAAGTATAAATGAAGCTTTGATGAAATTATGTGTGGATTGACACTTTGAGGTCTTGTCAAATTGTCTAAATGTCTGAGTCTCGTTAGTCATAAATGTGGCTTAATTGATTCAGATTCATAAGACAATAATGAGAGACATAAGGTATGTCTAGTCAACATAAGTTTCATCTAAATAAGGACTTTGGTTACAAGAGGTTTTTCTTTTGGTTTTGATGAGAAACTCTTTGTAATCTATGTCATTTTTTAAGCTTTTGATATTAAGTTAACTCTCTCTATGGTATTACAATTATATTAAGTCATTATCTCATTTTTTTATGGAGAGAAATAAAGTTAATAATTGTATATACTATAGACTGAGTGGTAGATACTTAAGGAAAAATAAGTTTTATCTCATTCATTGTCCCAAGAATGAGTATAACTAGAATAGACAAAATAGATACATATGGTTGTTAATCTTTTGTATTTTCAAAATGTATGCATTTGGATTCCACATACATTTGATTATTTGACAAATGATTAAACCTTGATTATTAACCTAGTGAATGCAGCCAAAGGGTTTATAAAGTTTTGTTCGAGAACAAAAGAGAGTTTATACTCACTTAAGGAATATTGGATCATTTGGGAGATCATTTAGAACTCTAATTTTGAGTTTATTGGATGTCTATAAAGTTGAACGATCCAAATTTACGTCAAGCTACATTAACTGCTAGTTGGAAGAACTAATTTGGAAAGTGTCAAGCAGACACTTATAGTTTATTCCTCCTTAGCAATTCAGATTTAGCTTATCTGAAGACATCGTATAAGGTTATGGTTGCATAATATTATCAAGAGGCTGCATGTTGCGGATGGTATTGAATACCATTAAAGTTCTATTGTGATAATATTAGTTTGCCATATTTGAACAACAGAAATTGTTCATAAAATTTCTTGTTGTTAAGGATAAAATTCATGTTAATGAATTTTTATTGAACACATAAGGATGAATTTATGCTAGCAAATTCATAGCTCTATTATGAGGTATACTAAGCTATTAACACTTGAAGTATTTTATGAGTATATCGCTCATATAAGTGTTACTATGGATATTGCCTTAGTTCAGTGGGAGTTAGTGTTCAATGTATTCTTGAATGTTATAACTTCAGTTTTCTGCGGAATAAAGTTGATGGTTCTGATTCGTTATGAATCACTAAAGTTTTCTATTTTTGTGACTTTGTGTTGCATTTATGGATTGATCTCACTAAGGATTTAAAGTTGGACCAGTTGGAAATAGACATGATAAAGATCACATTGCATGTAATTTCCATGCTACTCACCACATTTGATCTATGTCATTGAGTGTACTAGTATGGTGATTTCCGGGGTTTAACCACGATCTGCAATGTGGTGAAAGCCGCGGTAGTTCCATTGCTAGTATATGAGATGGACCAGATTGTTTAAGGTAGTCTGGAGATGAATAACATAAAGTTGCGCAACTAAGGAATTAATATAATTGCTCTGGAAATAATAGGTAGCCCAAGTGGGAATTGTTAAAAAATATTTTATTTCCTATATATAATCTAATTATGGGCAACATATTATATACAATTATATTAGCTATTCAATTAATTAATGGACTCAATTAAGTGATCTAAATAAAGTAGAGTCCATGGGCTACGTAAATTGATATGAGCTAATTGAGTGGATACCTAATATATTATTAGGGTTAGGTGATAATGGGTGGCCTACCCTATTAGTATATAAAGACCCTATTGGTTATGGTCCCCAATATACTAAATCAAACATAGTTCTCTTTTCTCTCCATTTGAATTGAGAATGACGGTCCCATATGAGGAATAAGACGATTTAGTTGAGGAAGACCATAAAACCGACCCCGTTCGTGATCAAGGATGTGTTCGTGATCCAGATCGTATTCATGGAGATGAGATCCGGAGATTGATGATAAGGTATTCCGCATCTAGAAACTCAATCTCAATGGATCCAGGTATTCCTTATAATCTATAATTATAATCTAGCGCGATGTTGATTTTCCTAGAATTAAAGTATGTTCTAGGTTAATTGTTATTGAATTTATATTATGTGATTATAAATTCCTACATCCTTCACTCATAAGATTCGTTCTTTCTATATATGTTACAAAAAAATTTCGAACTCATATCATGATAGCTAGATTGATACATTTTTTGAATTGATAAATAATAATTTTTTAGTTTTTAACTAAACTGATAGATAAATTTAAATTTTATTCATAAAGATCAATACAGATATTCTTTTTAAATCGACAAAAAATATCAATTTGATAATATGTGATAACAAATTGAAAATGTATTAAATTTTAGAATATCCTTAAAATTTAAATTGACTAAGTACTTTATAATTTTAAAAGACCTATTATAAATGGGGAAAAAAATCAACATAAAATACTCTAAATAATTAAGAATTAACACATATAATTACGAATTATTGACATATATAATTTGGAAATATTATAAGTTAATACTAGTACTTGAAAAACTCTAGGGAGATATTACCTACTCATAGTTTCAAATATTTTTTTGGACCTACTCCGATCTGACGCGACAAATTTTATTCAATGAATTTAATTATAAGTTGCCTAGAAAATTTTAATATTTCTATGAATGAGTATAAATAAATAAAAATAAAAATATAATTATATACTTTAAAATACGTCATTAATTTTATGTACAATGTTTATGAGTTACTAATAAATTAGTTTTATTTCTTCGAAAAATCACATTATTTTATTTTATTTAAAATGCATCCATTAACCAAATAAACATAATAAAATAAAACAGAAAAGGGCAGATTACCTTGAAATTCTCCTTTTTGCTGGAGCACACTTGTGAAGGTGCTGTAGAGATCGAGGATAAAAAAGGTTGGGCTTTTGGTCTCGTTATTTAATTGGGCCACGGCCTGCTGCAAAAGAGAGTTGTGGTAGCCCACTAACAGGTTCTGGGTGGCGTTGCATTGCTGAAAGGACGACATCCGGGTCATGCGTGGGAGGCAGCCCAATGGCTGCAAAGCTGTAACCACAATTTTACTCGCCCCAAGCCCATTAATCCGCTTTAGGTTTAGTGCTAGTTGATTGATCACAAGTGGGATGTAATTTTGCAAACCCTAAGGAAAATACAATTTTATATTAATAAATTTATTATATTAATTGGTTTTACTCTGAGCTTTTGGTATATATTGGGTACAAGAATAGATTATATAGTACAAATATAGTGGTATGATATAAACATAGCACATACACTAACGGATCAGGTGTTTTGTTATTTGATTCGTGACTTGTACATAACGAAATCTTTATCGGTCCCAACAAGTGGTATCAGAGTTCGCGGTTAATTCGTTTTGTACAAGATTCAAATTTTAACAACTTATGTGACAACGTGTGTTCAAGCGCAGCCATAAACTGAATTATATTTGCATAACTTTGATTTTGTAGGAATAAATTTAACTTGTCGAGTAATCTAGTAACTATTGAATAAATTTTACCTTATCAGTGCCTTGACTTATTACATAGGCGGCATAATCGTTACCGGCAAGACAAACAAGAACAACAGACGATTGCAAATCCGATTTTGTGTAGAGAGATTGGTTCATGAGGTTCTCTAAGAAGTCGATTTGAGTGCTCATGTTCGGCAGCAAACCGCCTAAAGTGTCGAAAACGCCAGTCCCTCCATACGCAAAGTTCAACCCATTGTCAATTTTTTTCCCTCCTAATTTCATCCATTCGTAGGCTAATGGGGTCTTGAGTCCCAAGAACTTGGCTGTTTTATATACACCACAATAAAGTAAACTTCAGCTCCTAACATTTATCTCATATATATATAGTTTATATATTGCCTTAATTCCCACAATTATAATATACAACCGTTTCATGCCATATTTTTTGGAGTGAGAATTCATGTTTTAATTTTATATTTCATATAATTGGATGAATAACGTGTGTCCATGACGATATCATGATTATGCACGCGTAAGTTATCTGAAACGTGAAATGAAATATGATTTTGGAACCAAAAATCTTTTTTCCCAAGTTGAAGCTTAAACATAATTCTACTCATGAGAATATATATTTCAACCACCAGCATATTAATATAATTAATCCTATAAGTGTTAACTATTTATTCTTATATATTCTTCCTTCTTTTTTATAATATGAAGAGATTTAGATGAGCAACAGAAAAAGAAACAGTGTATGTGTGTGACACAACAGCGAATAATGGCGAATAATTGGTAATCTAATTACAAAAGGGTGTAATAATGCAGATTTTTACATGCAAAAAAGCAAACAAAAACAGCACTTAGTAAAAGGTAAAGCTCATGTTTATGAAACCCCATTCAAAAAGGGAAAATAGAAAAGCAAAAGTTAAAGTGGCGAAAATGATGAGTACTTGCAACTAGTAATCATATAATACGAAAATTCTAAAGTGAGAGCAACTAAATTGGTCAATTCGTCATCATACTTTTATTTAAGTTGTTTTCTAAATTATGATATTCGAACATTAATTAAAGTAATACATATTTATTAAAAAAAAAAATCAGTATACATATTTATTAAATAAAATATATTTGGCTAACTAGTAAGTTTGCCTAACAACATGCATGACAATTGACACAAGATAATGATGATGGGTGGCAAGTAATAAAACGTAAAAAGAAGAAAATTTAGCGGTGGGATCTAAATCTTTATCATTTAAATTAAATGAAATTAATAAAATAATCAATTTACCGAGGTAATCGGTGAGGACACGTCCATCGGAAAACCGGCCAGCTGGCTTTCCGGGAAAGGTGAAGCCGTACGGCTCCTTCCAAGAGCTTCCCAAGGATTTTCTAATGTTACCCGTGTCGGCATAAGAGTCCCCGAACACAAACAGCTTTTTCGGCACAAGGGTTGACCCATGGATAATGCCTAGTCCTGCAAAGATTTTCAAATTAAATGATGCATCTTATTAGCTGTTTATTATTGGATTTTTTTATTTTTTTATTTTTGGCTGGGTTAATTTTATTTTTGTGAACAAATCAGATCAGCAAAAGTAGGTGAAGAAGTTAATCAAGAGATGGTGTACCTGAGGTGAGAAGAAAACAGAGGAAAACGATGAAGATGTTGGAAGGAAACATTGATATTTTGTCCATCAATTATTGGAATTAAATGCAGAAAAAAAGAGTGTGTTCGGTAAGTGCACTTATACATATATATATACACTTTGCAAGGGTTTCTGTTTTTGGATTTCTATTTTATATTGAAATGAGTGGTGTGGAGTGGACTCACTGGGGGAATGGGGGTTTGAATGATGAGATGTCGGTCAAGATTATTGACCATTTGACTTTATACCACGCGATGTTGGCTATTTTTCTTTGCTGACCTCTCAAATGTAAACTTCAAATTAATGCTTTTTTTTCACTTAAATCCTCGATCCATTATTCATTATCCATTATCCAATTTTTGTCTAAGTGATATCCGACGTATTTCGGTGAATGACGAACGCGACAAACTCCGGCAAAAGACGAACCGGATGAACGCCAACAAAAGACGGACGCTATAAACACCAGCAAAAGACCAAACTGACAAACATTAGCGAAAGATAGACGTGACGAACTACGACAAAAGACATCTTATCGCACACATAATAAAAATAATAACTAAATAAAAAACGTAGAGCCCGTGGAATACACTCGTGTTGCTTAAAGACTTGTCCATAAAAAAATGACTGATGGAAATCAAGCATAGGCGGAATGAGGAGCAGAGGTTGCATAAGGCTGAGGTCCATGCAATCAGGGGAGTAGCCACATGGTGGCTCACCCGGGCTACAGCCTAGTCTTAATTTTTTGTTTATCTAACTATGTAGTAGCAAAGAAATATTTTAGCCCATATTCTACTAATTTAATTTATGACAAAGTTATTTAGTCGATATTAATTTAAATTTATTTTATATTAAACCAAAAAATTATACATATTTTTTTACATGACTCAAACTTTTTATGTATTTTTTTTGTGTTTTTAATATTTGATTTAAAACACGATTAATTTATATTATTTATATTACTTTATATGTGAAGTATATCAATTACTTGTTAACTTTTAAATAAATGATTTTGAATATGCGAAATATATAATTTAATTTCATTAATTTGCGTAGCATATTCATTTAAACAACACTAGTACAATACCCGTGTATTACACGGGTGTTGAATTAGAAAGTTTTGGTAAAAAAATATTAAATTTTTATTTTTTTAAAAACTAAAATAATTTAATTTTATATCAAACATTACTTTGGGTTTTAATTAAATTGTCAAATTTTATTTTTTTAATTATAATAATTAAACACCCGTACATTAAATAAAAATGTCAACCCGTGTTGAATTTTTTTAGTTATATCATATAAAAATATTGATATTATTTACTATTACATAAGTACAAAAATATATATCTTAAATAAATAGAAATAATATGGTGACATGTATATGCATAAGTGTAGAATATCTTTATTTAATATTAAGTAAAATAGATTAATTTTTTTACTTAATTAGATACCTAATATATCAAGTGTCAGTGTCAGTCGTGCTTCACAGTTTTTTAACTTTATATATAATTTTAGAATTTATATAAACAATTATTTATTTTTATTACATTGATAACATACCAATTAGATTTGAAATAAATATCATTTTTAAAAGAATATATACCAATTTCTATTACTTTATAAAATAATTTATAGTTTTATTTGATATAATTTAATTTAGTTTGATAAATAAATTTAAATTTTATTTATAAGGATATATATTACTGTTTTGTATTATATATATATAAATAAATAGTAAAATACAAACGGACTTCATAATATCAATTCAAATGTAACAAACTAATTAAGATTTTTTTTTTCTTGTCAATATTAACTCTATTTAATGGATGTTATGGGAAACGATGAAGATGGGATATGAAGAGACATTGTGTATTAAATGTCGGGTTAAAAATGGAAAAAATATGAACAAAATATCTAAAACGACATTTATTTTATCAATGATCAATTAAGCCAAAGTGACAAATAATAAAAATATGAAGAAATATATATTATTACATATTTTAGTATGACATATGTTACTTGTGCGACTTATATGCGTTATATTATAATAAATTTTCTACCTTATAACATATAACTACATTAAACATAAATATATTAATTGATAAATAATTTTATTTTCTAATCAATTTTAATAAATGATTTTATTATTATTATAAAGATAAATATATTTTATTTATTTTATATATACAATATAAATGTCAAATCGAAGCTCATCAAAAGATGAATAATTTGATATATTATATATGTAAAACCAATAAGAAATACAATAGTTATTAACTTTTAAAATATATTTGCAATTCAATAGTTATAATAGGAAATGATATTAAAATACACTTAATACAAATATTAATTTATATCCAAGCCTAACTCCAAAACATGATTTTTTGTCAAATAAGATTCCGAAGCATGAGAGTTTTTCACGTAGGCTCAGCGCATTCTGAAATTATATATAAGAGGGGATTTAGAATTCCACAATTTAAGTAAAATATCATATAACAAGTATGTTAGGTTAACATTTCCATTCAATAAAATGACATTTGAACTTCCACAATTTAAGTGAAAATATTATATAACAAGTATATGTTGGATTGACCTACCTGATAATAAAACGTTAGTCTCATATATGTAATTGAAGCAATTTGTATTATTTTTATAAGTCAAATTTAAGTAGGCAAGAAAAAAATACGCGACAATACTATTTTTTGATTTACTAAAACAACATGACATGTTTTTCATTCATTTTGTAATTTACATTCTAACACTTAAAAAATCATCATACTTTGAATTTTCACATAACAATAGTAATATTAGCGAATCCAAATTGAGTTGAATACGTCGTATTCGAACTTGTACTCGTATAATAAATGAGCAGGTTTGGCTCGGATTATTTAATAAATCGAGTGAAATCAATTAAGTTCCGCTTGTTTGAATTAATTTTTCATTTTATGTTTTATTATATGCATGAGTCAAGACTGACTTTTTACGAGCCCAACTGAATTGTACTCCCTAACAAATTGGTTCTAGCAGCCCAGGATAGAAAATATTTCTGGCTACGCCTCTGCACACAATGGTCTCCGTCACCAGTGGGGCTGCTGCCCTGCCAGCAATCTAAAAAGTCGAGAACTCGCGAAGGCAATGGGAGCAACGAGGGAGCAAGTGAGCAACATCATTGGCTCGATTGTTGGAGGCACGAGCGTCGGCAAAATCGTGTCACTAACAGCAGCAGACGCCACATGTAACAAATGAGTTGCCGTTTGTCCCTTTTTATTATTTTTTTTTTTTTTTTTGGTGTGTGGTAGTTTTGATTATTATTTTTTTCTTTTTTTGTTTTTATGTTTAAAACAATAAGAGGAGCAAATACGCTAAAAGGGAGAGAGGGGCACGGAAGCAGATTAGATGGAAGCATGTCCGTGCTGCCGTTTAAGGACAGTAATGAAGTAGAGTTCGACTTTCAGAAATGCATGTCAGTTCTAGCCAGAGGTGTCGAGCTTCTTATCGAAACAGGAAATTGTGTGTAACTATCATCATCATCATTATCACATGAATTGCATTCATATTAATTTGGTATTTTCCTTAGTGTTTTGATCACCTTACAATGAGTTACTCACAAAATAAAATTCAAAATGGATCGGTATCTGCTTAGGTCAGTGGCGGTTATCCTAAGCAAAAAAGGAAAGGTATTATGTTTTGATCAATCTTGTTTCTCTCTGTTTTCTTGTGATATCAATAGCCATACTTTTAGTTCTAAGTTCTGATCTATGCAGCGTTAAAGAATGGGAAAATTTCAAAATTGGTCCTATAATTTGGCCACTGTCCAAAAAACCACCCCGATATTGACCACTTTCAATTTAGGTCCTATAATTTGTCGATTTCATCAATTTTGGTCCTTTTTTATCCGCACCCTGGATTAAAAAGTGACGTGGCATGAAAAAAGGACCAAAATTGATGAAATCGACAAATTATAGGACCAAAATTGACGTGCCACGTAGATCATAATCACGCCATGTAACATTGAAAAACTGACACATCATGCCACGTCACTTTGTAATCCAGGGACGGATAAAAAAGGACCAAAATTGATGAAATCGACAAATTATAGGACCTAAATTGAAAGTGGTCAATATCGGGGTGATTTTTTGGACAGTGGTCAAGTTATAGGACCAATTTTGAAATTTTGCCTTAAAGAATTGTACAGAAAATTCTTTTTTTGTTGCTACTCTTTTGCAAGTTTTCTAAATTATAACAAGTAATTATTTTTTGTTCAGCAAAATTGGTACTAAATATTATTGCGTGAGTACTCGTAAATGTCGAACCTGGTACTATCTTTTTGCAATACCAATATTAGTTTACCAAACATATAATAATTTTCAAGTAATTCTTGTTCATTTAACAAAGTGAGTATTGAATATTATTGCATGAGTACTAGAAAACGTCGAGCCTGGTATTGTCCTTTTGCAATACCGACATTGGTATTTTAAGATTATAACTGGTAAGGTACAAGTTATCATGTTCATTCAACAAAGTTGGTATTAAATACTATTGCATTTGTACTATTAAAGGTCGAACTTGGTACTGTCCAATTGCAATACTAGCTAGTATCAGTTTACTAAACATATAATAAGGTACAAATAACTCTTGTTCATTCAACAAAGTGGGTACTAAATACTACTGAATGAGGATTAAGAAATGTCTAACGTGATAGTCTTTTTGCACCACTAGTATCGGTTTTCTAAAATTAAAATACGTACAAAAACACTTCATGTCATTATGTGATCGAACATGGTTGATCTAAATTTCACTACTATGTTGTCGATTCAGCTAATATCCATCCACTTCTTACATCAACGATTAAAATGACATGGTAGAGATGGCGGGTTAAGAAAATTATGTTTAGTAAATCGGTACCTATTTTTCTTCCTAACAGTACCGAGTGTGTTGTTCAATAGTACTTATTAGTTAGGATTTAGTACCGACTTTGGTCAAAAAACATGAATTTCTTGTACTTTGGTCAACCTTTATGAAATAGATACCTACTCCATAGTGTAATCAATCGACAATTAATAGTATTTATTTGCCTTGTTAAGTACCTACTTTAATAAACTTTGTGCCAAACTCCAATCTTCAATGCTATTTTGTCTACTCGAAATAACTAATATCTTAATTTGAATGGGATAATGAATGTGCGTAATTAAGTACCCGTGTCAAATAGTCATGAACTTGCCACACTAATAAACGAACAACATTAAAGTACTTCATTTAATCTTATGATCAACTTGATTAGTCTAAATTCCACCAGTACTATGTTGTGCATACAATTAAGATCCAACTGTTGGGTTCGATAGTACCGTACGGGCTGTACGCAGCGGAATTTAAAATTTTTAAAGTAAGTATTTATCGAATAAATACAACACCCGTACATACTAACTTCCAATTAACTGATCGTTATCTTTAAAACATGCATCATATACAAATTTTGATTTGTTACTATAAAGTAAATACTAGTAAAAATATTTACCGAATGTCTTGAACTCCTTCACAATTGATGATGGATGAGGGAATCGATTCCCGGTTGTAACTTCAACGACTTGAGGTTACTCGCTTTAGGAATCCAAGTGTCTTCCCTCTAAACGTATCCACCCTATGAAGCCCGGTTCCGACAACCTTCCTTCGCTAGTAGGAATGTCTCGGTTTTCTTGTATAGGAATATTTATGAATTTTATTTGGGAATTTTCAAGAACTCTTTCTTGAATTTTATGAAGAACACTTTCTTCTTCTTTCTAACACTTAGAAATTTTAGGATCAAA